AAAGAGGCTTTTCCTGCTGGGAGGGTCTACCGTCTCCCAAGACCCTGACCAAGCAGCCAACCCCAGCTCAAGGCCCACCCCAATGAGCCAGCTGTGTGGTCCCTCTTGGGAAGGGTTTGAGCCTCTGGACCCCAGTGGTGTTTCTAGTACTTTCCCCCGTCACATTTTGTTGTCCTGACATTTACCACAATCTTTCTCCCTCTGGTCCCCCAACAGATGCTGCAGTCAATGGCCACAGGGAAATGCCACTTTCCTTAATAAAGTGAAACCCAGAAGGTCAAAGCTCATGCTGGGTGGAGACTCCCTGGGCAGGGTGGGGAGCAGGCTCTGAGCCCACTGGTCCAGGGGTGCCGTTCCCCAGGGCTCTGACCCAAGATGGCCCAGGGGCCCTTCCTCTTACACAAGGCACAGACCTGAGGGCCAGAACATGCAAACGGGACTTCACCAAAGGCTAAGGGATAGCAAATGAGAAGCCAAGATGGGGCTCTGACCCTCCAGACTTCTCCCCAGGGCGTCCTCTCCTGGCTACCGTGGCCAGGGCGTCCCCGAACATTCTAGATGTATGTGTGTTTGTGCTTTTCCTTTCCTGGCAAGGCGAGTCTACCTTGTCACTCGGTGGATTCTCGGAAGGGCCCGTAAACCACCAAAGCAAGGTTAAGAACCACAGCCCTTAAAGGAGCCCTCCATCCCACACACCCAGTTCCCAAAGCCCTTCCATGTGGTAGCGTCCAAGCCGGAAGCAGCAGTGTGACTGGGCTTCGTCCCACAAGCTGAATAAAGATGCTGAAACGTGGGCATATTCTAAAGCCCCTTCGACAAATGTCCACCACCGTCACCCCTGGTGTCATTTCCCCTAGAGGGTGTCGACCCTTCTGAAGGCGGAGAGCCCGCCAGTCCCGGCCCCTCCTTGTGCACCTGGGCTACCCCTCCCCTCGCCTGCACGCTGCACCCCCAGCACACACCCGATTTTAGGGTATCATCTGTGCCACTTGCCCAAGTGCCGAGGGCCTGGGAGTGGCTCTGGCCAGAGGTCATCCGGGAAGACCCTCAGAGACACTGAGATTTCCTCCAGGTCTAGACTCGAGAGAGAAAGGATAAGGTCTCTCTGTGCTGCCCAGGCCTTCCCTCTCCACCCCCTCATCTGCACGGCCCACTCCCTGTCTGAGGTCCTGCCCTTCCCCAGGCAAGTGATTTGGGACTGAGCCCATGGTCCAGGAGGACCTGTCCCTCCACACTTGAGCAGTCCCATAGGGCGCCTCTGGTGGTACCAGGGGGCCATCGCCCACAGGGCCCTCTCTGCATAACCTCTCCCTTGAGCGAGCTAGGACCCTCCCCTGGGCCATGAAACCAGTGAATTGCCCGGAATCCCTCGAGTCCCCTTGCTTGGCTTCCAGCAGGCTGACTGCAGAGGCGTCCATAGGGGAGCAGCAATTCCATCACTTGTTTTCCCAGAACTCCCTGGCATGCAGCAAACTCTGGTGTCTTGGGACCTGTTGACTTTCCAATTGATTCAGTGGCCCTTATAGTCCTTTCCGGGCTCTGTTTTAGAGTTTTCCGTGACCACGTTTTGCCATTGAACCAAGGACCCAGGCCAAGAGCCATCATGTTGGGCAACTTCCAGGGCAAGTTGGGCTTCTTTGCCTCTCATGCCTCATGAACCTGAGATACCTTGAACTTGTAATTCGAGAAGCCCTGATTTAATTTAACTGCACTATTTCATCAACTGTAATCTGAAAATACCACCACCAGAGAAGCACTTGATAAAAACCGGCTGAACTACAGCGGAGGACTTTGAGCAGCTGACTGAGATGTTTCTGGACCCAAGCAGCTGACGAATTTTTATCGAATGCGCCGGGAACCCAGAGATGAACACAGCAGGCATAGTCTTCAGGACACAAAGTCTCAGGCACAAAATGGCACCAGCAGCTCCTCCTTCTCTCCCCGGGCACCCTTGCTGATTACACAGTTTACCTGCGCTGACAGCCCCAATATTTATTTCACAGTCTGGTTCCAACTTAGCAATTATGGAAGAGTGCTCCCGGCCCTGGACTTCCCACTGGATAATTGGCAGCAAGTGGCTCTTCTGAGGGCCTGAGACGTGTGTGCACTGACCATGTGCATTGGCTAGGTTAGGCGGGAATGCCTGAAAAGTCATTAAGACCTGCCATCCCCTTCTCTTGCGTGGGCACTGCCCCTTCTGGGGAGAAGTGAAGGTGTTAATAGCTGGTAATGACCAAGAAAATCATGCAAATCCTTCTAACAGATTTCTCCCAGACCCAGCGATGATGGTTCCTCCCCCAGCCTTGCGGCTGCAGCTGCCCCTCCAACACATCACCCTCCCTTTGTTTGCCCCACAGCTGGAGCATTTCAGGAGTCAAGTCATCAAGGCCACCTACGGACGAGCGAAGCCGTTCCAGGACAAACCTGTCTCAGATCAACAGGTTCGTCTCTTTTTCCCGCTTTCTTCTTTGGGGACCCGGGACTCCAGACACTGGGAGCATATGTTTCTGTTTTTTGTTAGTGGCACATATTTTTCACTCTGTTGCTACACCATAAAGATTTGTTTTGCTTTTCTGGGATTTCCTGGCTTTGAAATTAAAAGCCAGTTAAACTCCCTGGAAGTGTTTCTGTGAAAATCCAAATTAAACCACCCAGACCCGTTTCTGGTCGCCAGACCCGCGTGTTTTAACCTTCATTTGCACTGCGAGGAAAGGGGCGGCCCCACCATAGACGAGGCGTCCTCACTCGCTCCTTCTGAGGAGGGAAGATGGCAGCAGTGAGGAGGGGCCCTGGCTGTGGTGACTGTCCTGGTACCCTTCGCATTATCCTTCCAGCCCCGTGGGTCAGCACATGGGCCACTCTCGGAGAAGCTGACCTTCTCTTTCCGAGACCCCAGCATCAGGCTCAAGCTCATGAATTGCTCCCAGAATGCAGAAGGATCTAGAACAAACTCGTGGCAACATGACAAAAATCATCTCCAATCCTGGGAAACATGCCCAGGTGACGGAGCCGAGACCCCCTCCAGAGCTGTCACCGAAGCACGTCGGGACCTCCCTCCTCCCCGCGGAGACGGGAGCTGCAGCTGATGCCCCCCCAGGTCCCCTCCCCGCAGAGCCGCCCAGGATTTTAAATCGTGTTTTTTTTTTCTCCTTTCTCTCACCAGTTAATAGAGAAGATCACCCAGGTCACTGAGGACAACATCAACTTTCAGCAGAAAAAGTGGAGCCTGCAGAAGGTGACTCAGCTCAGCAACTCCCAACAGGAGGAGATCGCCGAGAGCATCGAGAAGCTGAAGACGTGCTTAGCCAGCTGCCAGGTGCCCCTTCTCCGCTCTTCACTAATGTCCCCTTTGTGTGTCGTCTTTGTGCTCCCTGTTTGGGAAATCATCCAGCCTTCGTGGAGCAGGTTGGGAAGTCAGACTCTGCTTTTCTGTCCATCTTTTCTCTTGCTGGAGAAATTTGTTTGAGATCAGAAAACAAAGGACCTCCAAAAATGCCTCCCAGGTGAACGTGGTGTGGCCGATGAAAAGCTGCCCGGGACGCTCCAAAGACTGCCTTCGGGAGGCCCCCGAGTGCCCCACCCCCGGGCCCTGGGAAGGAGCGGGAGAAAAATAGCCCCATGTTATTTCCAGAAAAACCAAAGAAACATCCTGCCCTTTATTTGCATTTTTTTCTGTTATGTTCCAACAATGGAAAGGCTGCTCTTGCCCCTGTTGCCTTGGACTCTGGAGAAGACAGAACCAGGGGGGCTGGCCGAACCCCCACGGCCCCCACGCAGGGATGCAGCCTACGAGGGCAGACAGCTGCTTCTGCTTTCTCCGGAAATTAGCAGCTGCTATTTGGGGAGTCTGTGCACACGGTCACTCGTCAGCACTCTTTCTGATCAGGAAACTGCACTTTCTGACCAGCCTGTGTGTTGATCTCAGCAGGAATTTTGTAGCCAAATTTGGTTCTTGCTTCAGCCAAATTGTCCTGGGCAGTTTGGCTTCGGGATCATCCAAAGTCCAAATTAGAGTGCAAACGAGATAAAAGCTGCCCCCTTCCCCCTCCCCACCCCACCAAAAAAACCATAATTAGAACTGGGCCGTCCCAGGGCGGCGGACACATGGCCCTGCTGGCTTCACCACGAGGTCCAGAACGTCGCTCCTGGTGGGGCACCTGCGTCAGGTGCTATTTCTGGCGACCCCTCACGACCGCATCTCTTTCCAGGCTTGCATGAAGACCTCTTGCTGCAGCGACGACCTGAAGAAGGAGGTGGACCTCCTGCAGCACCTGCAGGTGAGCCCCCCTGTTTCGGGGCTCCAGAAGGTGGCGCTGGACACCCTGCGCCTGTCGCTGTCCTGGCTGGAGGAAACGGAGCGTCTCCTCCGGGACGTGGGGATCCAGCTCTCCGGCTCCGACAAAGGTTACTGGCACTTTTTTTTCTCACGTAGTCGCGTGCCTAAAATGTCGCGTTGACGCTGATGGCAGTGGGACATCTGTCGAGGAAGGCTTCTTAGGTAGGTGGCCAAGTGCTCCTTTCTCCAGACTTGGCTTCACCACTCGAGAAGGGATTTTCCCTTGAAGAAAGGACACAAGGGAGGTGCGAGGGCTGAAGAAACGTGAGACATGACAGAGGCAAAAGGAAAACCAAAACTGTGCTGAATCTCATCTCTCGGAAGTGACTGTTTATTTATTTAATAGGAGCTTTTTTTTTTAAGAGCAGTTTTAGGTTCACAGCAAAAGTGAGAGAGTTCCCAGGCACGCCCTGCCCCCACTCTGGCTCAGCCTCCCCCATGAGCAGCACCAGCACCCGTGTGGTACGGTGGGCACGTCATAGTCACCCAAGGCCCCTCGTTTACATTACGGTTCGCCCTTGGTGTTGAACACTTTGTGGGTTTGGACAAACGTGCGATGACATGTATCCATTATAATATCCTACAGAACAGTTTCACTGCCCTAAAAATCCTCTCTGCTGCATCCCCCCACCCCCTGACACCCAGCCCCTGGCAACCACACATCTTTTTACTGTCGCCATAGTTTTTGCCTTGTTCAGAATGTCACATAGTTGGCATCATACAACTTTTCAGATTAGTTCTTTCACATAGGAATATGCATTCAAGTTTCCTCCAAGTCTTTTCATGACTTGATAGCTCTTTTTTAGTGCTGAATAATATTCCATCTTCCACTTACTCCTGAAGGACACCCTGGTTGCTTCCAAGTTTTAGCGACTGTGAGTAGAGCTGCCATAAACATCCACGTGCAGGTTTGTGTGTGGACATGTTTTCAACTGCTGTGAGTAAATAAACAGGGTGCAGTTGCCGGATCATGTGGTTAGAGTATGTTTAATTTTCAAGAAAACCGCCAAAATCTCTTCCAAACTGGCTTGTATTTTGTGTTCCCACCAACAATGAATGAAAGTTCCTGTTGCTTCACATCCTCACCAGCATTTGATATTACCACTACGGTCATATTTTGTGTCTAACTTCCGAGGCATTTTCCCATGGAAATAGCTGTGTGATGCTTGGTGAGTTACTTCCCCTCTCTGTGCCTCAGTTTCCTTACCCATAAAAAGGAGATAAGAAGGCGTTCCCCACCCTTTAGGACTGTTGTGAGGACTCAAATGCTTTGATATATGTAAAGTTCTTGGCATAAAATAGACACTACCTAGATATGTTTATTGATTTTTTTCATTTTGCAAGAGAGTAGTGTCGTATTATACCCAGTTTTCTTCAGTTGTGTCCCTAGTGGTACCTCAGGAAGACCCTTCCATGACAGTACACACAGACCTACGTCATCGTTGTCACTGATGGCAAGGAGTCCCGTGGTGTAGGGTGTGCTGTGACCCATCTAGTCAACCCGCCGCCGTGGGCATCTCAGCTGTCTCCAGGTTTTCACACTTACGATGATGCTGAAATAAACATTATTCACGTATGCCTATTCACCCCATCTCTATCCTAGATGTGGAGGATGTGAACCACTTTCATTCAGCAGAGATTTATTGTGTGCCTACTAGGTACTAAGCACCGTGCAGGGTGGAGACACAGTGGGGTCAGAGACAGGTAGAATCCAGGTCATGAGGTGCATGAGTGTTGGCTGTACAATCCCTCCCACTTCAAGTTTGAAATTTTTCATAATAAAATATTGGGGGGAAACAGGCACTATCCCTGCCCTTACGGCCTCGGGAGGGATAGGGTGGCCATTAACTGAAAAGTCACTCGCGCGTAAAACTTTGATGGGGACGAGTGCTTTGAAGGGGAAGTGCAGGGTTCTGGTCAGGGAGGGCAGGGTGTCTACAGGATGCATAGGAGTTATTTGCCGAAGAGGGGGCATTCTGGGCAAAGGGAGCATTGCGGTGGGATGGGGAGCATGGAGAACATAAGGGGATAAAGGAAATGGAGGCAGAGGCGGGCGGCGCAGGAGCGGGAGGGAGGCCTGCAGGGGCTGTACCATGGGCCGTGGCTGGGGGTGCAGAGGGCTGGTAAGACCCTGGTAAGAAGCTCTGCTTTAACCTAAGAGCAGCAAGAATCCCATGAAAGGCTTTAAGTGAGGAGCTGATGGAACAGGCTTGCACTGGGAGACGATGGAAGGTGGCCAGCACGGGACACTGGGAGAGCAGCTGGGAGGCTGTCACAAGAGATGGTGGTGGCCCTCGCTAAGGCAGAGGAGAGGATGGAGAAAGAGAGAAAATTCCAGGGGCAGGTAGAGGAGAATCAGCAGGCCTCAGCGGTGGAATCAGATACAGTGAGAAGGGAAGGGACAGAGAGAAAGATGGCTACAGGTCTCCAGGTTTCCAACTTGTGTAAGTCAGATGTGGTTCCTTCACTAAAATCCAGACTAAGGGACGCTGTGTGAGGACCAGATCTGAGGAGGAAGATGCGTGTGAGGGTGCCAGGGACACAGCTGTCACCCTGCAGATCTAGCCTGGAAATAGCTATTAGTGACGTGGCCCCCGAACCCAGAAGAATACGCCACGTAGTGGATATTTACTAAATAGCTGTGGAATGGACGGACAAACAGATGGATGCACAGACGATGATTGAAGCCATGTGTGTGGATGGTATCACTGAGAAAGAATGTCCTGAGTGAGAAGGGAGAGCCCAGGGCCCCACCTAGGGACTGCCAACACTTTGAAAGTTATTGATACTTCTTGCCAAATCGCCCTTCAGAGAGGCTGCGCGAATTTGACGTTCTTCCAACAATGAATGAAAATAGAAGAGTGATTATTATTAATACAACTCAGCAACGAAAAAACAAGCAACTCAATCAAAAAATGGACAACAGACCTAAACAGACATTTTTCCAGAGAAGAGATACAGATGGCCAACAGGCACGTGAGAAGATGCTCAAAATT